GATCTTTATACCAAGTTTATTTATCTTCCTTTTTTGGGGGTAGTTTAGTGTTTTTAACTTAGTATCAAACCTAGAACATCCATTTTAAACCATACTATTCCAAAATCTCATTACCTGCGTCAATTCTTGGAATGCAGTTTATGTATTTGTTAAACAACATCACTTAAATTGGTTATAAGTTGAAATCTGGCGCATACTACATATCAATGCTTGTGCTAATGTTTGTTAACTAACTATTGATGTCACCTCAGTTTGAATGCGACTGATTTTCTGGAAAAGTTGCGAGGACAGAGGCTGGTTTTTGTGGGGGACTCACTGAACAGGAACATGTGGGAGTCCATGGTGTGTATCTTGCGTCAAAGTGTCAGAGACAAGAAACATGTTTTTGAAATTTCAGGAAAAACAGAATTTAAGAAGAAAGGTGTCTATGCTTTTAGATTTGAGGCAAGTTTATGTATATCCTTGAGATTTTCCCGAGTATGCATCTTTTAATGATATCTCATTGAATTTTTTTCCCATATTTATAGGATTATAATTGTTCAGTAGATTTTGTTAGCTCTCCTTTCATTGTTCAAGAGTCAACTTTCAAGGGCACAAATGGATCCTTTGAGACATTAAGATTGGATTTGATGGATCAGACAACTACCACCTATCATGATGCTGACATCATAGTCTTCAATACAGGTCATTGGTGGACTCACGAGAAAACATCTAGGGGGTGAGTTCAGTTCACTATGTAACATTGCCTTCACATTGTATATGCCTCTGCATGGTTTTATCCTTCCTTGAAATCTGTAGATTAGGTGTTCTTACTTGATGATGTGTAACAACAAAGTTTTTAGTCTGATTCAACATTATGCACAACCATGCTTACTATTTTGTCTTGTGAAACTGCTTTTCCTATTAAAGATTTGAATCTCTTGTTTTCTTCACACCAAGAGTTTTCTGCCTTGTAGTGCTTATTTTCTGTGAATTATAATACACTCTTGGCATAATGTTTAACTAAAGTTCTTGAATACGATATCACTTGCATAAACATGCCTTGTAGTGCTTACTTTTATCATACATTCTCAACCTCAAAGTGCTTACCGTCTGTAATCCTCATAATCACTAAGGTTTTTTATTTTTACGGTATATTTACAGAGAGGACTATTATCAAGAAGGCAACCATATATACCCCAGACTCAAAGTTCTGGATGCATATACAAGGGCATTGACCACTTGGGCTAGATGGATTGACAACAATATTGATGCCAATCGAACTCAGGTTTTCTTCAGAGGATACTCGGTCACTCATTTCAGGTATTGGTGTTAAACATGGCTGCCAAATGTTAAGAGTTCTGAACTTGCTACTGTTTGAAATACAATATGCAATAAATGACGCTATAGTGGGATAAACACAAAAGAAGTTGCTTCAACAAAAGTTATTGTATGAATTACAACTCTTTTATCTATACTGATTCATGTTGATCAAAATATTCTTATACTGGCTGATATGATTTCAGGGGTGGGCAATGGAATTCAGGAGGACAGTGCCACAAAGAAACTGAGCCAATATCTGATGGAAAGCACTTGCGCAAGTATCCTTCGAAAATGAGGGCTTTGGAGCGTGTGGTCATGCCAAAGATGAAAACTTCCGTGATATATATGAACATTAGTAGGCTTACAGATTACAGAAAAGATGGGCATCCCTCTATATACAGAATGGAGTATAAGACAGCAGAGGAGCTAGCCTCTGCGGAACTTCACCAAGATTGCAGTCATTGGTGTTTGCCTGGAGTACCTGATACTTGGAATGAATTACTCTATGCTTCTCTATTGAAATATGGTAAAGGCCATTGGAAAAGTTGAGCCAAACTCCTCAAATTCGTTATGATTTCTCATCCATTATACATATTCAACACATGTATATTCATTGACTTGCACAATTCTCATAATGAAAACCACGAAAGCTGTAAAATTTGTAGATTGAAAGCTCCATTTCGTTAGCCTTGACTAGTTAAAGAAAAGGAAGGATCGAATTTGTTCCCCTATTCAACTACCAAAATTTCGCTTGTAAACGTATAACAATAAATACGATGGATACATAACAAGAAACGTGGACTTGGTTGAAATGATTTTGACTATTGATTTTAAATTCAAATTTTAATCAATCGTGGTTAATCAATCATTCACACTAAAATTAATAATTGTTGTATGCAGAAATTGTTAGGATAAACTTAAATACAATAGAACTAAATGAGTTATTTATTTGTTTAAGAGTTTTGTCTGTTTTAGATTTATAGGTTTATAGTTTGGAGATGAAAGGCCAAATGAAAATTCTGTAAGTTGTAGTGTCTAGTTGACATATAAAATTGTAGCAAAAGAAGTATTAATACAAGGAAAGTTTAGTTTTGCTAATAGAAGTGTTATCATATAAATGTATTTACTCTTGACATTACTGACTTGTATATATTAGGTGTCTGTATATTCCTACTTTTCAATTACTTTTGGGACATGAATATCTGTTTGTTAGGGTAGCCTTGTTTAATATAAAGAGGATAAGATAGTTACCATTGAGTCCCTTGAACAACAAATATTAGAAACAGCAGAAATGCAGCAGTATAAAGGGAAAAAGGGTGAGGGGTCATGGGACATGATCATCATTCACCTAAGAAAAAGGACTCTGAAGTTTTTGTAATAAAGTTCAATAAAATACAATCCTAAACTTTGAGGAACTAGAATTGTACTCTTGCTTTATTTCTGATAAGGTGATAACTAGCAACACAAACAAACATGGAAAAGGAAACACACAGAATGGGAGGGGACAGAAATGGAGTGAAGTGATCACAACTATCTACCTACTCATCTGCAGAAACTGAAGAGAGAAAGGAAATCTAGTCAGCTGCAAATTGAGCAAATGGGACAGCACAAGTTGGTACCTTCTTAAAGGAAGGTCAACCTTGTTTATTACATTCTAAAGCAAGAAGAACTACATAGATGAGCAATACACAGCCATAGAGACCCCAATGGAGTCCATTGCCTTTTTGTGACTTGCCGGTTTGCCTGACTGTAGCCATAGCCTCTCCTCATTTGGAGAATGCATATCTGCTTCTGCCACTCACAGAATGTTTAAACACATCCCTTGTTGATTAGAGAAGCCAAAGCTAAGCACAAGCAAACTGTTGAAAGTGGGGGAGTGTGAAGGGTAAGGACCCTCTCACACTCCTTTCTCTCCATGCTCTTCTTTAAGAACCATGGATGGATGCTTGCCAACAAAGCTTCATTCTCACCAGATTCAGGGTTTGATAGATTTTGGTGAAGAGGGTCCAAAGGGCTCTATAGAAAACTAGTGGAGAACTTAGTCTCTGACCACAGTTTTAAATAGTTGATGATTGAGAACTAAGAAGTGTTATCATCACATCATCTTTTCATTATCCATTTGCTTCTACCTTTCCTATTTTTTAACCATAAAAAGTAGCAATGTAGAAACTCATTAAAAAAAGAAACAAAACAGAACTGTGCTCATTAAAAAATTTCTATTTGGTTTATTCAATCTCAACCTTAACCTAATTTTCTAACTTTATCTTGAATCTCAATCTAACACTAACCAGGATAGACCTGACCTAACTGTATTTTTTTACCCTCTTTTTCTTCTACTGGTTTACAAGGGAAGGAGGTTTTGATGGCCTAACCTAATTTGATTATCTCATTCTTTTTCTCTACTATTGAAGTTGTACTTAGTCTACATGCTCAAATTGAATTTGATATTTCCATTTTGTCTTGACCAAATTTCTGTTTATTTTCACCAAATATGACACTACACTGCATACTATATTAACCCACAAAGGCATTTTAGGGAATTTAAAATTCAGTACTAAATAGTGTCCACAGAAGATATCTGATTGAAATACAAAGGATATGAATGTGAAAGAGTCAATATAAACTTTAAAAGATGGGCACCCACTCTTTACTTTTTCATTCGTGCTTGACTTTTGATGGTTGGAGGCTTTTATTGAATCTCTGGATCCACTTAGGAGACTCAAACCCCACTTTGCTTCCAAAATTAATTAAAAAACTTCTTAATGAACCAGTTAAATAATCCTCTTAAGTACTTGAATAAAATATTATTTGACACATTCCAAGATATTAAACACGTTTACACTTTGAAATAATTGGAATATGTTACCAGGACTTGTGATAAGAATTCATCACTGTTTCAAATTCCTAACTCTCCACTAATTTCGTTCTCTCTCACCCAAACCACTTTGTTTTCTTCTTCTGTAATTATATTTTCTTAAAGTTTCAAAATACCATGATTTTGATTTCAGAGCTAAAAATAATCTTGGCCATGTATGTAGCCATGTTGCACTGTTTACATCTTAGTTGTTAATTGATCCCTATCATGTGTCTTCTTTTGATAATTTCTAGGGGCCAATTCAACTTTTGAAATTAGAGTGATTAGTCACCTCTAAGAAGTGAAGTTCTGTATTTTATAGTGAGAAAAAAGGAAGTAACAGTGGAAACTATAGCTTGAAGTTGTGTCCAAGAGTCATTTCTCTTTCTATAGCTGGCTTTATAGATAACCCAAAATTCTTGAAACAATGTTGATGAATGATACAAAAAATGGCAGTGATCTCCTTCTCGGATATGCATACAATCATAGCAGCTAGATAATCCATTGAAGCATTTGGTTTGCCTCTTCTTCAAGCAAGAAAACAAAATTGTTATCGCTTTTAAGTCAGTCCCCTTTTGGAATCTTTCTGTGCTGTTTATTTATTACATCTGTAGCCACTTATATTTTTATTTCCCATCAACATTGCCTGAATGAGATCCCAATTCACAGCTTCTTTTAGTGAACCTTTATTTGTGGCCATTGGTATCAAACAACAAACCCATTTAATTATCTTGGTCAAAGAAATTTAAATGAGTTGAAAATCTCACATTAAGTAAAAAAAAAATAAGAAAATTAAATATTATATAAGAAGAAAGATCTACAAATTCTTAAAAAATTCAAATCTGAATCTAAATTTTACATTCATTATGTATAAAAAAAAGTTGAATGCATAAACTTAAAAAGAATTTAGTATCATGTAAAAATGAAGAATCTAAGTTTATTGTTGAAAGGTTTTTGATTGAGAGTGATTTTAATATCTTATATAGATTGAATTTGTTTTTTTATTAATATTGTATTTATCTAGTGAATTTTTTTGAAAAAACTCATTAGTATGATAGACAAATATTTGTTTTGGTAACCAACTCAGATAACCTATAATATAAGTGAAAAATTCTAGAAGTAACGATTCTTTCTATCGGAAGTCTTAATAAAATTTTAAACAAACAATTTTATATTGGATGAAGATAAAAAAAGTTAAACACGGTATAAAGATAAAAGACTATAAATTTTTCAAAAGTTGAACACAATGTAAAGATAAATAACTATAAACCTTTCAAAGTTTTCTCAGAGTCAATATGTATTTACATTTTACATTCACCAATAACATGTCTATGCATCAATTACAGAATTTAAATTCATGGTAGTATATATGAACTTATTCTTCCCAATTTAACCTATCTGTAGTTGTAAATGAATTAAGTTTTGCCGAAAAGTAAGTTGGATACTTGTTGTTGCCTTCATAAATCATAATGCACACTATGATTGTTGTCCACCACTTAAAATTAGGCAACCAAGACCAATGGAAGATGATTAGTAGTAACTCTAAGCTGGTTCCAATTTTGCAATCAATTTTTGGGTCCCTTATGATGCAAAATTTCCAAACTTTTACTGTGAATTCAGTTTAATTTACGTTCAAACATGAATGACTCATCAAGTGGTCATCATGGTAGTAATTATAGATGTTGCCATCCAATTTCCACATGGCATGAGAAGTTGTAGGACAAGTGACCTTTCCATGATGTGGTTTCAATTTGGAATCAAACTGTTGGGCCCTTCTCATTATTTTTGGTCCAAGATCAAAACTACTTTACCATGTACTTGTAAATTCCTAGTTTGATTTTCATCTACAATTTCTTGTTTGTCAAATGTTGGTCAAATGTAACCATTGTAGGTACTAGGTACCCTTCAATTTGGGAGGTGACGCAATTCCATTTTCCAACAGTGCAAAATCTATTGTCATAATCTTCATTGCTTTTGTCTTTTGATATAATAACATTTATACTTTTTCTTAAGTGCCCCTTCAGATATTACATGTGGTAAAGAGAAGATTCCCAGATTTCTGAAGGTCAGTGGCTCTTATTTGTACTCTAAGATCTCAAAAGAGCAAAACAAATATTTTAAAAAGAATAGCATTCATGAAGGAGAATGAGCCAATTCTATCTCTGTGTCTTAAGTTTATGGTCATCACCAAACTACAAAACTTTTTTATGTAAATTCTAATCTTTTAAATATTAAGCTTGTTGAGTTCTTCATGGTTTTGTATTTAAAAGGTATATTAGTAGATGACATTTTAAAACCATTTTTGTCTTGATTGTTAAATGATATAAAATCTTTAAATATAAAAAATAAAAAGTTATAGACCAATTTTTTAAAATATAAAAATTTATTCATGAAATTGATTTTCTTAACAGACATTCTTTCACTTGTATAAGGATAAATCCTGAACTTATGTAAATAGCACATAACTAACTATATGCCAATGGTAAAATCATATATGCAAATTGTCCCATTTTAGTTTTGAATAGTTAAATTTTGTTAAGTAAATATTACTTTTAGCATGAAATTAATAAACAAAATATTTATCTTCAGAAACAGTGACTAATATGATTGAGAAGTGTATTTTTCGATAATAAAGATGTCGACAAAAAAATTACTCTAAAAGGACATTTACCATGCTCTATAGGATTGTCCTAATTTTGTTTTCACATAAAATAAATAAATAAAATAATTATCTCAGTTTACAAAATTAACATTTTTATCACTAACTTATTTATAATTTGTAGTGT